AAGTGCTGGGATTATAAGCAAGAACTGCTGCACCCAGTCAGCCCTTCTACTTTATTTTCTGAAACAGTTTGAGGACTGGTATTATTTCTGTTCTAAGTGTAAAAAAACTGCTTTTTTTTTTTTTTTGAGTTGGAGTCTCACTCTGTCGCCCAGGCTGGAGTGCAGTGGCACGCTCATAGTCACCGCAGCCTCGACCTGCTGGGCTCAGGTGGTCTTTCCGTCTCAGTCTTCCGAGTAGCTGGAACTACAGGCACACGCCACCATGCCCAGCTAATTTTTTGATTTATTGTAGAGATGAGTTCTCACCAAGGTGCCCAGGCTGGTCTCAAATCTGTGGGCTCAGGCAATTCTCTTACCCCGACCTCCCGAAGTGCTGGGATTATAGGTGTGAGCCCAGCCAAGACTGCTCTTTTTAATATCTTTAATCTTTGTGTCCTTCATTGCCTCTAACACAGGGTTTTGTTCAGTAAATACTTGGAAATGAATTGAATTATGCGACTATATTCCTGAAGTGGCCAAAATAGCATTTAAAGTGTTCTGAATTGCAGTCACAGGCACTTTTAAAATGAAGGATACTATTAAAAAAAATCTAACAATGAGTTTTAAGCTTACGAAAACTGAAATATTTACTTACTAGGTAGTAGCTCTCTATCAGCAGTCTCTGTGCAGCTGGGGTAAGGGTAAAATAGATGTCCTTTCTCTAGTGGGTACGGAATCATTCTAAAAGCTGAAGAAAAAAAGGCATATGTTGACATTCAATTCTCATTACCATCCTATATTACAAACCAAAGCTATTTTGGAGACATTTTAATAAAATTTTCACATAGTGTTTTATTTTCTTTTTTAGAGAGATATTTTAGATGGAAGAAACAAAGTAAGCAAAATAATGAATAAGGGGAAGAATAAGATTGATTTAGGTACTAATGAATGATCTAGTCTGGCTGGAGTGAAACGAAAGGGAGTAGTGGAAGAGGGGGCTGGCTGGGGCCTTCTCTGCCTCAGTCTCCTCATCATACACACAATTGACAAGGCCTAAGGATAAAGTCTGCTTCTTACAGGAATCTTCGTAAGATGCAATGCTTATAAGCATGGCCATTACTGTTGGAAACCTCAAAGACTTCTCAATGGCTTCTAACTTCGCATGTGAGTTTCATCCAAGTTTTCTATGACCTTAATCTAGACTGGGGTCACAGATGTATGGCCTTTTGGCCACATATGGCCTGCTGTCTGTTTTTATTAAAAAAAAAAAAAAAAAAACTGCATCGGAACACAGTCATGTCATTCATTTAATATGATCTAGAGCTGCTTTTGTGTTGTAAGAATAGAGTAGCTGTGACAAAGATTGTATGGCCTGTAGAGCCTAAAATATTTATCATTAGACCCTTTATAGAAAAAGTTTGCCCACCCTGATCTAGATTATTACCAACTATTATAGATTTGTCAAATAAGAAATCTTTACTAATGCACTCAACTAGCTATGTATGGGAAGTCCTCACCTAACATCATTGATGGTTCTTGAAAACTACAACTCAAAACAAAACAAAATATAAGGAAACCAATTTACTATAGGCTGACTGATATAAACAAGTGTTTAGTTCCTTGGTCACAAAATATCACCAAATTTCTAAATGAAGACCCAAAACACTTCTGATATTAAACATTGAAATAAATGTGAGCTATGCATATATTTTAAAAGATGAATAAAAACAAGTAAGATCATTATGTACCCAGTTCCAGTTCAGAGTGGAGGGAGGCTGCAGCCCATTACAGTAACTCATGGCACAAGGCAGCAGCCAACCCTGGAGAGGACACCACTCCATCAGAGTGTACTCACACTTGCACCCACACTCACTCACACTGGGACAATTTAGACACATCAATTAACCTATGTGTAAATCTTTGAGGTGTGGGAGGAAACCAGAGTAAATGGAGAAAACCCACAGAGACTATGCAGAGAATGTACAAACTCCACACAATGACCCTGGCTGGGAATCTATGAATTTTTCTCATTAACATTATAATGAAATGATTTTGAATAAAATGATATTATTTGAGGATCAGTTTGTATTCCTCAAAATTGTGATGAGGTTTTTGTTTTTCCTGTATTGGTTGGCTCTATAAACTTTTGTCAAAATATAAATTTTTTTTTTTGCCACAAAATAAAAAGTAGTTATTTATCCAAAGTCATTGAGCAAATCAATGATGACACTCTTAAATCATTTCTCAAATTCATGAAATACAGTACAAATCAAATATTTATTGAAAACCTCCAAGCAGAATGCCATACAAGATGGACAAGACAAAATGGTTTTGAGGTGCTTATAGATTACGGAAGAAAAGCAAACATTAAGTCTAATTACTTAAAGTCATTCAGCTTCTCAAGTACATGATCCCAGTTTTATTAATCTTTAGCGTCAAGCACAGTGTCTGGCCCTGAGCAAATGGTTAATGCAGAGGTTCCAAAATTTTCTTGGTTCAAGGACACATAGTGACCATCACGTCCCAATAATTTTTAACAATGAAATAAGCCAAAAGAAATATCTAACAATTTCACTTATTAGGTAGTGAGTCCAAACAACTTAAAAAGTTTAAGTTCTAGTGACTTAGCAACAATTACATTTTTGAGTTGGGGTCTCACTCTGTTGCCCAAGCTGGAGTGCAGTGGCATGATCATGGCTCACTGCAGCCTTGACCTCCTGGGCTCAAGTAATCCTTCCACCTTAGCCTCCCAAGAAGCTGGGACTACAGGTATGTGCCACCACATCCAGCTCATTTTAAAAATTTTTGTAGAGACAAAGTCTTGCGGTGTTGCCTAGGCAGGTCTTGAATTCCTGGGCTCAAGGAATCCTTCTGCCTTGGCCTCCTCAAGTGCTGGGATTACAGGCGTGAACCACCATGCTTGGTCAACAATTTGAAAAAAATGAAACAAAACACATAAATGACCATTATTTCTTACTAATGGGATGTATGTATGTATGAGCCTGCTGGACACTGTACAACTTTTCAAAATTTGGAATCACATTGGATTCCACCAACCTCATTTCCTAGTCTACGTTAATTTTTGTGTGCTATTTCTTTCGATCACAACGAACAAAAACCCTGCTTTGCAAAGACATGATGACATCGAAAGGGATGGAGAGCAACCCAACACTGAAACTGTGAACTCTCTGGAGCCAACAGTTCGAGTGGTGTCAGACGGATACTGAATACTGCATTGTTGTGTTTCCACTGAGGATGGGAAAAGATTCCACAGCACTCTTGGGAACTGCTGCAACATCCCAAGGAGTCTCCGTGCAGAGTTTGGGAACTAAGAAGGTTAGCTACTTTTAGTGAATACACATTGAATTTATTTTAAAATTTTATTGACAGCTGTGGTGTATTTGCTAAGAGAATTATTATATGAAGCCAACTGGTAAGATATTTTGATTAAACTTCTTCACTTTCTTGGGGGTCATAAGAAGGAACAAATAAGAGATCTGATAGTCAAAAACAGTTCAATTTATTCTCCAAAGAAAATGCACAAATGGCCAATAAACAGATGAAAAGATGTTCAACATTACTAATTATTAGGGAAATACAAAACCAAACAATATGATTCTACTTCACACTCATTAGAATGGCTATTATGCAAAACAAAACAGAAAAAAACAAGTGTTGGCAAGGCTGTAGAGAAACTGGAACTTTTGGGCATTTGCTGGTGGGAATGTAAAGAGGTACAGCTGCTAGGAAAAACAGTACTGTGGTTCCTCAAATAATTAAACACAGAATTTTACAATTCATCAATCTCACTCCTGGGTATACGCCTAAAAGGTTCGAAAGCAGGAACTTACACAGATATATGTATAATAATGTTCACAGCACCATTATTCACAGTAGCCAGAAGGTGGAAACCACCCAAGTGTCCACTGACAGAAGAACGGACAAACGAAATGTGGTATATACATGCCATAAAACGCTATTCGGTGTTAAAAATTAAAGTCTAACACAACTGACAACATAGGTGAACCTTGAAGATATTATGGCAAGTAAAATAAGCCAGACACAAGAGAAAAAATATTGTCTAGTTCTCCTTATAAACTCAGAGACACAAGTAGAATGATGGTTGCCAGGGCTAGACGGAGGTGGAACTGGGGAGTTATTTAATGGGTATAAAATTACAGTTTGGGATGTGAAACAGTATGGAGATGGATGGTGGTGATAGTTACACAACACTGTGAATGTACACAATGCTTCTGAAGTGCACTTTTAAGAACAGTTAAGGCCAGGCACAGTGGCTCACACCTGTAATTCCAATACTCTGAGAGGCTGAGGTGGAAGGAATGCTTGGGCCCAGGAGTTTGAAACCAGCCTGGGCGACACAGCGAGACCTGGTCTCTACAAAAGATCAAAAACTTAGCCAGATGTGGCAGTGCACACCAGTAGGAGGCAGAGGAGGGAGGATCACCTGGGCTCAGGAAGTTGAGGTTGTGGTAAGCTGTGATCATGCCACTGTACCCCAGCCTGGGCAACAGAGTGAGACTCAGACTACAAAAAAAAAGTTAAAATGGTAAATTTTATGTACATTTTGCAATAAAAGAAAGAATAGGCTGATATTAGTTGTGAGAAAAATAGTTTCATGTTGTACACGTCTGTAAACAAACAGAAAAACCCAAACCAGACAATTTTTAAAATATTTGAACAATAGCTCAATCACATTAAAAAGTTTATAAGTCAAAGGACTGTTTTCATTTTCTTTCATTACAAATATGTAACTTCAATGAACATATGGCAGAATATCATAACAGTTTTTTTCATTCTGCTTTTTCTAAATGTGGCTTCAATATAAATACATTATGCATCTCTTCTACCAACAAATCAAACATCTCTCCACTGTGTTCCTTTTGATGCCTATCTGAATAGCAAATCTTTACGGAAACTCAGACAATCTCATTAAAAAAAGACGGCCTGTGAATGCAATGAATAGTCTGAGACTGCTATTACATTTGGAAAAGAAAACTTACTGCCTTCCCATGTACACTGTAGCAGATTAAGGGCACCTTCTATCCTCTTCCAGTGCTGAAGATGAAAGAATGCATACGCAATTGCTTCACTATCACCTCGTTTCAGAATGTGTTCTGGAGGTAAAATTAAACTTTTCATCTCCAGTAAATACTGAAAGAGTAACACACATACACACAACAGAAAAAAGAGAAATTAAATTGTGTTAACTTCAAATACCCACAGAAACATAGATTCAAAATGTTATAAGGTCAAACTGATTTTAAAAAATAAACTACTTAAAGTTACATGAAGGTCCTGATAGCTTGTGTATAAAATGCTTGTATGTGCAAATTCCAAAAATCAGAATTTTTCTATAGGTAAAAATAAGGTGATACGTTGCTAAATGTAAAATGGAAACTCATGCTGAAGAAATAATTTGAGAGCAAATTTTTTTTTTCTAAAAAACATTAAATATAAAAATTATAAAATACAATTTTGGAGGCAACATTCAGTTCTTTTTTTTCCTTATTTCCATTTTACAGATGAAAGGAATTAACTGTGAGAAAGTTTAATTAAATTAATATTTACTGAGTTCAAAGCACTATGCTTGTTAGGGAATACCAAAGAACATCCAGCCCATTCTCTGGAGCTTCATAAGGTAATGGGACAGATCCTTAAATAAATAATTGTAACTAGACTGTGGTGAGTGCTTTACTAGAGGTATAAACAATGTACAGTATACAAGAGATACAGGTAGGATGCATTGATTTTTAAATTTAGTTTCAAAGGCCAGGTGTGGTGGCGCATGACTGTAAAACACTTTGGGAGGCTGAGGCAGAAGGATCGCTTGAGGCCAGGAGCAGCCTGGGCAACAAAGCGAAACCCAGTTTTAATCGACCAATCAATCTAGTTTTTAAATAACAGCTTTATTGAGATATAATTCACGTGCCTTATTAGAATTCAGTCATTTAAAGTGGCTGATTCAATGGTTTTTAGCATATTCACAGATATGTGCAACTATCAGCAAAGTTAATTCTAGAACATCTTCATCACTTCAAAAGGAAATGCTGTACCTTCTAGTCATTACTCACTTCTGCCTGCTCCCTCATTCCTTAAGCAGCTTCTAACTTATCTCGTCTCTATAGACTTGCTATTCTGAACATTGCATACAGACGACTTCGTTTCGTGACTGGCTTCTTTCACTTGTTTTTGCACAAGGTTTTCAGGGTTCACCCAGGGTGCAGCAAGTATCGGCACCTGCATCTCACTCCATTTATGGTCACATGACACCTCACGGTGTGGCATATACATTTTGTTGATCCATTCATCGTCTGACGGACACTTGGCTGCTTTCATTTTTGGCTGTTATGAGTAACGCTGCTATAAGCATCCATATACAAGTTTGGGTATGAGCTTATGCTTTCACCTCCCCTGGGTAGAATTCATTTACCTTGGAGAAGAACTGCTGGGTCTACATGTGAACTCTGTGCTTAGGAGGCCTTATGATTTAGGGGTGAGACATTAACCACGTGATGGGATTTGAACTGATATTTTAAAACAGGCTGATTGTGGATGAGCAGGCTGGGGGGTGGGATGGGGAGAAGAACAGGAGGACATCTTCAAATCACAGGGCCATCTTGAAGAAAGTAGTGTACTAAGCCAAGAGCATACAGTGTAAGACGCATGTAATGTGTCTGTTAAAGAAGTTATAGTCTATCAATTCTTCTTCACGCACGAGACTAAATTTTATCTTAAACTCTTAAAGAAAATACTCATCCTTATAATTTATAGAAAAGTAGTATAATCACAGTCATTATACTAATCAAATGTACTAGTTACATGAAGAAGGATACAAAATTAATCACTTGTACAGCATCTTTACCATTAAAGTAGTCAACTTAAGACCTTTGAAAAACATATTTAATTAGATTAGGCACAGTGGCTCATGTCTGTAATCCCAGTATTTTGGGAGGCCAAGGAAGGAGGATCGCTTGAGCCCAGGAGTCTGAGACAAGCCAGGGCAACATAGCGAGATCCCATCTCTACAAAAAAAAAATACAGCCAGGCATGGGCATGGTGGTGCACACATGTAGTGCCAGCTACTCAGGAGGCAGAGATGGGAGGATCACTTGTGCCTGGGAGTTCAAGGCTGTAGTGAGCTATGATTGCACCACCGCACTCGAGCCTGGGCAACAGAGTGAAACCCCCATATAAAAAACCAAAACCAAAACCAAAACCAAATTTAATTAGTTCAATATTTTCTTTAAAGATTGAGGCCAGAATGTACTTTCCCTTCTAGAATAAGTGTGAAATAACCTCTTTGGTTCTAAACAATTTGATATCAAATTACGTGTAAAAGGTCCAGATCATGTTAACTTCTGTTATAAAATATAAAAATAGAAGCATTCCAGAGGTATCTCAAAAGATATATTCTCACATTTCAAATCCTGGCCCCTCAGGTTGTTATACAAACTAATGAGATAACAAAATTTAAAGAGCTGAATTTGTGAAACACTTTGTAAAACTGCTATAAACAGTAAGACTCCAGGAAGAATGTTAAAAACAAAAAGTCGTAGTGGTTTCAAATTTTAAGCCTTATGTTATTCATCAGTATGCATGTGCTTCTCATGTTAACACATCTGAAATAACTTTTTTGTGTATGAAATGTGCCTTTCCAACAATTACTGAGCTTAACGCTCTTCGTAATTACTCTCACTCTTGATGTCTTTGGCTCTGTCCTCAAAGTGTAAGAACGCAGTCTGCTCATCGATTTATTTTAGCAGATGTCACAAACTATGAGATTATTTACTAATCCAGTTTGGGGACTTAACATTCCCATTCAGTTTCTTACAGGAATGCAGCAGAGGTTGCGTCCTGGTCAAGCAAAGCCCATTTGCTGCCTGGTTGGGTTTTCTCCCCTTAGTGCCTTCGGCCTATATTCAGGAGGGTAATATTCTTTCTAATCCTCTCTAATCCTTGCCCATTTTTTTAAAACACAGTAAAAGATCACTCGCACCAGGCGGCTGTGGGAAAATGGACTCAAATAGCTGACCTCTGACATGACTCCTTACGCTCTTTGCAAGTGCACTAAGGGCTTCTTCAGTAGGAAGCAAAGAAAATGTGGCAAATCACAGTGGAATTGTCACCCATACAAAGACTAGCTAGCTTTCAGAAGACAACTGTTTAATATTTAAACCCGATCCTTTCTATAAAATTCTGTTCCATTTCACAGAGAGGAAAGACAATGAATTTTAGAACTTGAAAGCTTTAAACCCCAACGTAGTAGCTAGTATATTGGTAACCATTTAACAAATGTAAGCCAACATATTCAGCTATCAATTACTCGGTACAACTTACAGTAAATATCAGTTTGATATGTCAAGAAAATGCCTTTTTAAACAGTAACTATATACCTAAATTTGTATTGTTTAATCATCTAAGTAACAATCAAAATCAGGTGGCAAACATATATGGCACACTTATTAGAAAATGATACTTCAGGGTTTTACATTAAAAATCTTTGTCAGCCAAGAGCGGTGGCTCAAGCCTGTAATCCCAGCATTTCACTTTGGGAGGCTGAAGTGAGGGGATTGCCTGAGCTCAGGGGTTTGACAACAGCCTGGGCAACTTGGCGAGACTTTATCTCTACACAACAAATAAAAAAATTAGCCGAGTGTGGCAGTGCAGACCTGTAGTTCCGGCTACTTGGAAGGCTGAGGCAAAGGAGCCCAGCAGGTTGATGTTGGGGTGGCCGTGAGCGTGCGTGCCACTGCACGCCAGCCTGGGCGACAGATTGAGACTCCAACTCAAACAAACAAACAAGAAACTTTGTCACTTAATCATTTTTAAAATCAAGGTTCTTTACAGTACGCTTTTAAAAAATTATCATGTCCTACCTACCAGAAACTATCCTTCTCAATTTGACTTAAAAGCAATTTTTTTCAGTTCTTAATTAGTGACAGAAATAAAATTTGACCCTCAAAATACAAGGGAAAAATTTCAGTTTAATGAAAATGCATATCAAATAAGTTATATATCGGATTATTACTTCTCTCTTTCAGAAGCTGCTACTCAGGGATTTCTGCCACCCAGCACAGGCTGTCACTTACCATTCAACAGAAACGACATCCTTCCTTTTCTACTACAACACCTAGTGCATTTCACTCAAAGCAGCCACCAAAATATGTATTAACTGCATTAGTCTGATACATAACAACTATAATGTCTTCAAACTCATATTTTCATTTTTACTTAACAATATTTTCTAACTCTCTGAGCTAACTAAAATTAAACAAATACAAAAACAAAAACTTCTGCTACTCACTTTACTTTCTAAAAATAATGTAAAAGGTTTAAAAACTGACAAGTGATTTTTTTTCTTTTTGCTTAGAAAAGTACATGCTCAGTGTACAAAAATGCAAACGTAACAGAGCTATCTAGTAGAAAATAATATATATGCTTGGTGAATAAAGAAGATAAAGATAGATAACAGAAAATAAAGATAGATAGTGGTGCGTGCCTGTAGTCCCAGCTAATTGGGAGGCTGAGGCAGGAGGACCGCTTGAGCCCAGGAGTTTGAGGACAGCCTGGGCAATAAAGTGAGATTCCCCCATCTCAAAAAAGAAGAAAAAGAAAAGAAAGGTAATTTTATTTTTGTTGTCTGAATTTGTTTTATGCATAGTATACTAACTCCATTTTTCTCAAAAAATAAGATCAAACTGTTATGCAACTCACTTGTTACTTCATAACACATCTTGTACATCTTTCCCTGTCTTTATATAGATATAGCACTTTAAATTGTTGTACATAAAGTAAGCTGAGTTATTTCATAATATATGTAAAGAAATACAGTCATTGGATAAAGAAAATGTGGTACACATACACAACGGAGTATTACACAGTCATAAAGAAGAACAAAACTATGAAATTCACAGCAAATTGGATGGAAGTGGAAACCATCATACTGAGTGTTCTATTATAGAAACAAAGAAATGAATACCAAATATTCTCACTTATAAGTGGGACCTGAACATTAATCACATCAGCACAACAAAGGAACTGGCAGTCGTTAAACACTGCCGGGGAGGGGTCGGAGACAAGGAGCATCACAAAAGGGTGCCTGATCCTAAACCAGGGAAAGTGAGGGCCAGGTGAAGCTCCAACCTTCACCT